TCAATATTTTTACATGCTTCTCATTCAACTGGGAATTCAATGTGTTTCAGCAAATTGCATGGAGGGTCATAATTAGCATTTCTATGGAAGCATATTGTAGGGTTAAAGAGGGAACTCTGTGGTAAAACTATAAGCATGAGGACTTGAGTTCAGATCCTCGATACTCATGTCAGAGCTGAGGACTACAGCTGTAGTGTAACCCTAGTGTTGGGCAGAACAAAGCCATGTTGCTTGCTGGCCAGTTAGTGTGGCTAATCAGTGATCTCCAGCTTCAGTGAAGACATCCAATCATGAAAAAATAAGGTGGAAAACCATAGAGAAGGACACTTCACCTCTGGCTTCCACACACATGTGCACACACACAACAGAGAAAGAGAGAGAGAGAGAGAGAGAGAGAGAGAGAGAGAGAGAGAGAGAGAGAGAGAGAGAGAGAGAGAGAGAGAGAGAGAGCAAAGACATACACCAAGATTTACAGAAAGTACAGACACATAAAGCAAAAGACATACACACACACAGTAAACACAAAGAAATAACAAACATGAACACACATACACACATATATCAAATACATACATACATACATACATACATACATACATACATACACAACAATTATATACACAGCAAGCACATACAAACACAAACAGAGGAAATACACAAAATCAGCAAACATTCATAACATACACACATACAACCAATATTTACAGCAAGCACACACACACACACACACACACACACACACACACACATGCACCTAGTCAGCCAACATGCCCATGCACACACTTACTACTCACAGCAGACAAACACACACAAGCATATTATAGTGACATTTTATGCTGACGAATTGAAAAGTGCTTTCACTGACAGTGTTAGTTAGAAATAAGTCTTCTAAATAAGAACTACATGGACTGGTGAGAGCTCAGAAGGATAAGGGATGTAGGAACACCTTTAACAGAAAGAACAACGTGTGTGAACACATGTCTGAGTCTGAGGCTTCTGCCAACTGCTTTGTCTATAGGACCGTGATATGGAAACAGGAAAGGGAGGGAGAGAGGAGGAGGAGGTAGAGAAAGACCCAGTGAGCCAGGGAGAAAACACCAAAGGTATCTGGAAAATCATGTTGTCTCTCTCTCTATTGTCTAGTACACTTCTGATTGTCTTTCCCATTTTCTCTTAACTGGTTATTTTTGTTTCAAAATAAGAATTGCACAAATCTCCATTTGTGCCCAAATTTAGCAAACTTTTTATTTTATTGAAATAATTAAATACATTATTTAATAGCCGATTTGGAGTTTCTGCTGAATATGAGAAAAGCTAGGAAACATGCTGACTGTAAATCATAAAAGGAGTTGTATGTTCACATGACACTATTCCAAAATGCTGACACAGGAGTCTGGGTCATTGGGCTCCACTGTGAACCTAAGCCAAGGTTCTAGCTGTGCATTTATGATTTGGACACTAGCTTGTGGCAGGAGCAGGAACCTGAGGGCTAACATCCTGAACAGCATGCCAACTGGAAATGGCATGAGTCTTTGCACTTTCAAAGTCTTTTTCCAGTAACACACTTCCTCCAATAAAGCCACTCCTCCTAATCCTTTCCAAACAGTGCTACCAACTGGGAACCATGCATTCAGATACCCAAGACTATGAGGGGCATTTACCATTCAAACCACCGTAGCCACTCCTAAGGGCAACAACGTCAGTAGGAATAGCAAGTGTATCTGTTCTGGAATCCACAGATGCCCTTTCTAAGAGTGACTGGAGAGACCTGCAGAGCCAGCAAACACATTCCTTTTATTTTTCATAATAAGGACAAATAAGTAAACAATGAAAAAGAAAATAAAAGTGTATCTTTAATCGGCGGCATCTTCTAAAGGGAAGAACAAACCATTCCCTCAATACGAATCAAATTTCTAAATCAGGCAGTCCCTCCAGCAGCCTTCTTTGTCCCAGTCTGCCCATCCCAGTAACTGCAAGTTGCTTGGGCAGCAGTCAGCTTCCTCAGCCCAATGCAGGCATGTCTGCCTTACCTGCCTGAGCTGCACTTTAGCATCTGGAGAGCTTCATCAACAGAAGAGCAGGGCCCCGCCCTTCTCTCTCTAACCTGTCAGTGAGGCCAGGCAATGGCTTTACACATCCACCCACGCAATTTCACTGTTCCCAGGTTTTGGACATGCTGGCTTAACACGTCTGAGATCCCCTGCAGCTAGCAGACTCTGCAATATTTACCTGTCCAATCTCAGGCCACGGGTTAGGACTTTTCTCTCCAGCTGAAACCACAATCCACTCATTTTCACTGTTTCCTTAGTCTGTGTAATGGATTTGGAGATTTTAGCCATTTCATTTCTAAGTAACACCTGGTACATGTCTATACCTAGATTTACATATTCAGTCACAGTTGCTACATCTCCAGAAGACTCTAATTTTTGTTGTTGTTGTTGCTGCTGTAGTTTCTGCTTCCCTGATAACCTGACAGGAGCTCTCTGCAATGTTGCAATTATTTCACTTAAATAAATTCGGCTTGTAAATACCACACCCCAACATTCAAAGATAATTACAGCCATAAAAGTAACATTAGAAGGAGAGCCAGTTCAGATTGAAATTTAAATGCTTACTTCCCCCGTCTCTCTCCAATTCTGATTGCTTAAGGAGAAGACAGGAGCTGGCTGTCATGCAGGGGAGGAGGCATTCGGGTTCTGCCCCTCCTTTGGGTTAGGAAACTGTGGACAAACCTGACCCAAAGAATTAAATTTCTGCCTAGAATTACACACGGGGGAGAGGGAGAGGGAGGGCCCAGGGCCTGGTGCAGCAGAAGAGGAACTTGCCTCTGAGGAGGAGACCTCACATAGCACTCAGGGCTTACCTCAGTTAACACCAGCTTCCCCTGGCTTTTGTCTCGTCTTTTCTGTTAAATCACAACACTGCCGCAGACCAGTCAGAGAGAAACTCATTTTTCTCTTTCCTGGTTTGGCCAAATTGTAAATCCAGTTTTCTTATTTGGAGATACAAGGAAAGTCTAACGCTGCCTGTACCTCTAAGTGCCACAGTGACAGTGAGTGGAAGAAGACAGTTGGCCCCACTGAGAGCAGCCTGGATTGCTGGATGGTGGCGGACTTATTGCCAGCCCAGGCTTTTGTGTCTGAGCAAGACAGATGCTCTGTGTGTGTGCAGATGGGAATTCAGGGTTTATAAAGCAACTTTAATTAATAATTTCATTCAACCATAAAATAAGGGCATTTTCTGTGTATTGCAAAACATGCTTGGAGCCTATGGATTATAATATGCTAATACCTGTTTCTCTTTAATGAAAGTCCTATTCCTGTGCAAGAATAGCTTTTGGAAAACAAATATGTTGTTAGTGGCAACATGTTGGCAAGCACATGGGCCAGCTTGGAGACACCGGCCATTATCAGGAGGAGCAGACAAAGTTGCTGTGTGTTTACAATTAAGTTAAATCCAGATGGAGCTTCACCGCTACTGTTCTTTTGGTTAAAATTACCACTGTGCTATCCAAGATTGTAATTTAATAACTTCTAAATTTTAGCAGGGTTTACACTTCAGTTTTATTTGAGACTCTGAAACTAAAATAACATCAAAGTATTATTGTTTTTCAACTAGTTCATTTTAAAAAGATGAAAGCTGTATGTCAACTTATGAGCCCATAGTGTTAAGATTGTAGAATACTGGCATACTTATTTATTACATTAAAAATGTAAGCAAGCATCCCCTAGCCACTGAACCAAATCACAACCAATCCACCTTATTAAATCTTTTGGCCCAGTAGTGAAGGATGTTTAAGAAAATGTATTTGCTAGCATCTTTCATCTGTACGTTAGGATCTCAAACTTTAGTGGCTATGACGCCTACATGTTCATGTTCTTTACTACTTAAAATAGGCACAAGCTATGCAATCTATATGTGTACATATGTAAAGCAAAATGCTAGAGCCCCTGGTATTACCTGTTCTATTCTGGTTTAATTTTTAAATATTTGATTATCCAAATTAGTTCCAGTACCCAGTAGTTGGTTGCTACCTTCAACAGAAAAACTGTTTTAAACTTCATTTTATGGCACAACTGGAAGGAAAAATGACTCTGAAACAATAGCTTTGTATCATTATGATGTCACAGTTAAAAGATGAGACATTAGTTGCTTAGCTCAAATGTAAAGGGTCCTTAGAACAGACTTGAGACCACATATTAATACTTGCTAAAACTGGTTTAAAGTATTTCTATTATTTTACCAGTATTATTTTGTACTAGCCTTAGAATAAATTCATGTAAATGTTAATACTAAGAACACATTTCTTAGTGATGTTTTACTTGACAGAATCAGAAACCTCCAGGAGGCTCTACTTTCTCCCCTCTCCCCTCGGTTTTGAGAAATGGTGGGTCCATTTTGTGCAATTGTGGGAGCTTTATTCTCCAATCATTCTGGAGCCCAGGAGTGGGCAATTCTGTATTTTTCACACGTTTTCTTGCTTAAACTGAGCTGCCCAGGTTTCTCAAGATAGTCTTCCTGTGAAGAATGAAACTAATGAGTCCTCTGAGGCTGCACCAGTGGAACAGCTTAGCATTGAGCTCAGTACAAATTCTGAGGTCTGTATGTTGCCATACCGGCTCTCGAGCATCTGGTATGTGTAAAGTATATCCGTTCTGTTTGTGTGTGGCGACTGCCTTTTACTGTCCCATGCTTTTTCTCTCCTTTATTAAGTAGTAACTGTGGACCCCAAGTATCCTATCAACATGGATCTCAAGCATTCGTTCTCTTCTGCTTCAGATGCCGCGGCAATGTGCCCATGGAATCACGGCTTTTCCAGGGGTTCTTAGAGTCACATCATTCGTGTTTTTTTTTTCCTGGTTTTTAGCTCTGTTTCTAAGCCCACAATGTTAAGGGAAGTTCAAAGAACTATGAAGCATGAACATAGAATAAAATCTATTGGTTTCCTCTGTCCAAACACCTGGTTTTGATTAGTTTGTCTTTTGTTGATGAACACATACCTCTGCATGTACGCAGACATCTGGAAGGTTAGGCTTCACCAAAGATGCTGGAAGTACATTCTATTATTATCTTATTATTATGTTATCTCTTCCACTGGGTGATGCTCAGGTGGCAGGCTGGCATTGCCTTCACAAGTGTCTCCTGTGACGTAGCCTCTGACCCTACACTCCCTCAAGTTGCTGAGGCTCTTGCCTTCTTCTCCCAGCTACATTTCTTTATTTGGAAACACAAGGGCACTGATGACTAATCCAGCCAGTGTCACAAACCTCAGGACATTCCTTTGTCAGCTTGAGGAATTCCATAGAAGTGTCACGATGGATTTGAGCTGAATTTTCAGATTGATGCTTTTACTGCAATCATTAGGAGCTAGGATTAGACCTGCCACATTTACCAGCCACTCATTTAATATCAGAATCTTTCTATTCAGACTTGCAGTAGCTAAAGATATATAGATGATTTATGACATTTTTTAAAAAGTTCATCCTAAATAATTAAATTGAATATAGTTTTAAAATACTTAATAAGATAGTGATAACCAAATACCTAGTGTAGTGTTGTATACTTTAAATTTAAATATGTGAATATAATTTCTCTTTTCTTCACTGGTACAATGTCTTTTAATGCCTGTGTATGTATTTTATTTTTCAATAATAGTAGAATATTAAAATAAAATGTTATGTTTGTCCTGTGACTTGAGTGACTAAATAAGTCATTGTACATAAAATCTAATGAAACACAATGTTAAGGATACAAATTAATACAAAGTCTGTAAAGAACATAAAAGAATTTTTGAAAGTACAACATGATTATTTATTGGACAGAACACTAGGCACATGATGTTGTGTATCATTAGTGGTTATCACTCATGGAAGGACACCAGATACCTTTCATAGTTTCTAAACTTGCTGCTTTTCCTGCACTGTCCATCTATCACTTAAAGTCTTTAGTTAACAGCTGTTGTGCATTTATTCTTTGGCACCTTCCTTGCTTCATCAAGATAGTCTCTCTTCCATACGAATGTCTGTTCTGCCAATTCTTGTGGCATGGACTATTTCATTATAATGCATATATACAAAATTTCAAATGGCTACACATCACTTATGGATATGTATGTGCAAGTTTATTTGTGACAGGGCAAAGGTTCCTCCACCTTGTCTCAGCTGCAGCCTCTTAGATTTAACTTAAAACCACCACCACCACCACTACCCCCTTTTACACTTCCACTGTGAAAAGTCCTGTGGGAAAGTACCCAACCCTGTTCTAGAAACTCAGGGTCAAAATGCCCCAGCTAACTGCATATTTTTGGCTTCTGTTAAATTGCTTGCTTGCTTGACTTCCTTCTGCAACTACCAATAACCAACCAGGATATATGTAGTTTTTCTGTGTTGTTTGACTTTAAGAGCTCCCTGTAAAACACTGAGGGCTGCTCTGTGAGAAGTGCTCCTCTCCAGGTAGCTAACTGACAGCCTTAGTACAGACTCTTAATTCACATTTTGGTCATGATGAGTGGTCTTTGGGTCTCTACCCTGCAACATACTTACTGGCTGAGAATTTATAATTAATAATAAGTCTCTGTGTGTTTGTTTATTTGGGAGCCAGTGGTCCTGACACAAAACTCTGCCTATAGAGCATCTCAATAGACATCTTTGTAGAGTATACACCAACAAAAGATTTAAGGAAAGAAAAGGTGAATCTCATTAATTACCATAAAAATTTAAATTAAACCACAATTAATCACTGCCTCACACTCTTACCAATAAATAAATAAGTAACATCTAGGCTGGAGAGATAGGTGACTCAGAGGTTACGAGTGTAAGAGCAAATACTGCTCTTGTAGAGGAGCCGGGTTAGGGTCCGCACCCACAATGCAGTGCACAGCTACAGCTCCAGAAATTCCAAGGCTGTCTTTAGCCTCTTCAGGCTGCTGAGCACATGTAATGTACATAAACTCACACAGGCTCACACATATACAAGTTAAATATAAATACATAAATACTTTAAAGATGATAGAAAGTAGTGAGAACATGAAGGGCAAGGACCCTTGCACACTTAGAAGGAAACTTGCATAGTAATTGCAGAAACCATGTGAAAGTTACACAGAGTATTGAATAAAATCAGCAATATGACCTAGTAATTGGCTCCTCGGTGTACTTCTACAGAAAAGGTGGGTATGAGGAAGAGATGCTCACGTTGTAATTTGTATAACTTGTAACAGCTAAGATAACACACACCATTAAGAATACCAATTCAGTGTATACTTAGGAATTACAGTGAATTAAACATCACCATCCATTGCAATCAATGCACGTTCACAGATAGGAAACAGAAACGTAAGTTTGATAAAATAAAAACTTTTTTTCTTTTATTCATAGTTCTTTTCAGCTAGGGCAGTAATTAAGTAGAAATTGGAACTAGCTTTGATATTACCTGGAAAAAATTAGCAACAGATTTATTATAGTTTTCTGATATTATCTTTGTTTACACTGATATCTTCAGGAATTGAGTATTTTCAGGAACGATTGTTGTTTCAGAATTTCATTAGGAGAATATGTGGTAATAACACAGGCTGCTCCTTGGAGGTGGAAAGAATCATTTAGTGGGTTACCTCATTGAAAACCATGACCTTGAAGATTTACCTTATTGCCGTTGTATTGTCAGGAATTTCTAAGGTTTACAGAGGCAGGTTTCACTCCTGGGTGACAAAGAGAGTTTTACAGGGTTTTAAATCTGGCATTCAAGAAGTGTTTGGGATTCTGTACCACATAGTAATAAAGTGTGACACAGATCACTGTGCACACAGGGAAAGTCTTGACCTGTCGACTTTCCAGCCAACCTGTGCAGATCTTGTCTGCTGGACCTGGGACCTGAGGACCCGAAAGAATGGGGCAGGCTAGTCTAAATCTGTAGACACCTTACTTCAGTTTCAGTGTGCTTCATACATGAATCAAAGAAAGTAATGTCTGAGGAAGGTTGTTTGAGTTCAGAAAAACATGTAAATAAACTCTAGTAAACACATACTAAACATTAACAGAGCAGCCCTTTCCCTGAACTTTCTCAGGACAGACCAATTTAAACACAATTGCCTGGCATGTACAATAGATTATATCTGGGGAACCACGAAAGCAAGGCAGAGGCCATATCCGGATTCAGGATGTGCTGACCAGAATGGGTTTCTATAGCTATGTTCTGACATCCAACAAGAATAAACATGTCTTATAAATTGAATGTAAATGTTCCACACAGGAGGCATGAAATCACGTCCAAGAACAATCCAGGGGACAAAATGCCCTCTGCCTTTCTTCCTGGAGCCTCTCTCACAGTTCCCCAAGGCCTTGTCCACCATGCATCATTCTTTTGAGCGTGTTCCGACAGTAACTAAAACCTGCTTCTCAGAAGTGCTAACATCTAATTAAAGGAAAAAACAAATCTTTTGTTTTTAATACCAATTTTCTTCTATTCCTAATCTTAAGAAAACGTCAACATAAATGTGAAGATTTTAAAAGGGCACAGAAAAACTTCTTTCCATCTCTTTTAAAACTTAAAAAAAAAAAAAAGACCAGACTCAAAGGCAGACTTGCTAAAAGGTAGGACATGTCTAAGGCAAACACTTCCCATAGTGCTTCAAGCAAATTCGGACAGCCTCCTAAATGCACACCACTGGAGCGGTCCCCAGTCCGCCTGCTGCTCTCCAGCCCTGCTGGGCATAGTGCTGGTGCTGCTCATCTGCATGTGATTTCTTAGGAGGCCCCTTTGGAGCCCTTGGCACCAGCTGGTTCCTTCTTCCTTCTGAATTGTTTTCCTCCTTCATTAGAATTTTGGTGGTTGTACATCTGCTCATCTGGATTAAGTTTAAAGTCTTTACACGGTGTCCACAAGACTTCACTATTTGCCATCACTATCCTGAGTTCATGCAATGGAATCTTCATCCGGGTCTGATGATAACCTTAGATTGTAGTGGAGAGCAAGTTTTAGTTATTCATCTTTTCATCCCGTTGTCTTGGATACTTCCTGAAGCAAGAGTCACGTTTCCTAACTAGTTAATAATTATGTACATATTAATTAACATTAAAGCATAGATGTTTAGAATAATAGATACATAAATATCAAGACATATGTAAAGTTAGACATTTATATAAAAAAAAATCCTGGACCAAGCTTTCTAATCTTTGGAATTGCCACAAGAAAAGGTACAGACTGGCTCCCTGCTGTTGGATACGTCCCTAGCTTCCTGTGTCTCATTGTGAATCAGTATGAAAAAAAGGAATTATATTTCCTGATGAAATGGAATTCTGACGTTCTTATCAGGCTCAAATGAGCCAAAATAAGCAGCTTATTAAAATTATCATTTTGCATTTTACAATTTAGGTAATAACTAGTTCTGGATGCAAAACTATTTCATGTCTATACAAGCAAAGTGTACTAATCCCAAAGATTTCCAGATCCATAATTAACATTTGTCTGTTTCCACATGTTACAAACCTCACCAGGATGTTTTTGAGGATTAAAAATATTCCCATCTTTTATGTGTACATAGGAAAGCATAGCAGAGATACTTTTTTTAATACAATTACTTCCCTAAACTTCCATAAAAAAGGACATTACTGCTTCTCTTGCAATATAATACTGTTGCATCCAAGCCTCCTGGGTTTATTCTGAATGCATCTAATTAATCTCTTTTCACCACTCTATCCATAACTGTTATGGGCTAATTATTTGTCTTGTTTGGAAGTTGTAGAGATGGTGCAAAGTGACTTCGGATGGTCAAATGCAAAGCTCGTGACAGTCTCACTCACTGACATGATCATTTTGGCCGTCTTAAATCAGTCCTGGTGTCTTTTCCTTTTCAACTCTTCCTTCATTAAGTTACAGTACATGCATGATTCAGCCAGCCCATTCAGTCATCAGAAAATGTTGTCTCTGAGAACTGGGGAAATCAGCATGGCTATATTTTTAGAGAAGTTGATCAGATCTTTTGGCATGCTCCAGTCTGTCTAGACTCATGCAGATCATCCTGCTGGCTGATGGGAAAGTGGGGGGGAGGAGTGTGAGGCTAGATTTCTTGAAATCCCTAAGGCGCATCTATCTTCAACAGTGAAAGAACTATATAAAACCGGTGACATTTCCCTCTCAGGGTTATCCAGACAGATTCTCCTGAGACAATGTGTATTTTCTTCAC